TGCCGGCCCACGTTCATCTTGGCATCAATGATGACTCCAAAATCCTTTTCTGCCTCTGCACTGACGAGAAGGGAGTTCCCCAGCCTGTAGGTATGGTGCTGGTTCTTCCTCCCCAGGTGCAGTACCTTGCACTTGTCAGTGTTGAATCTCATCCTATTCTCATCCACCCACCCCTGTAACCTGTCTAGGTCTGATTGTAGCCTATTCCTTCCTTCTAGTGTGCCCACATCCCCCCACATCTTAGTGTCATCAGCAAATTTGAACAGGGTGCTTTTTCCCCCCTTGTCCAAGTCACTGATGAAGACGCTGAACAGTGCGGACCCGAGGACCGAGCCCTGGAGGACCCCATTGCCCACATCCCTCCAGGTCAAAAATAACCCATCCACCACCACTCTCTGGGTGTGGCCCTCCAGCCAGTTGGTGACCCATTTGACTGTGTAGGTGTTGACACCACAGTCCCCCAGTTTTTTAATGAGAACAGGGTGAGAGACAGTGTCGAAGGTCTTCCGAAAAAGTTAAAGTTTAACTTTTTTGTCAATTTACTTAGAAAGCTGAAAATGCTTCAACTAATTGTCTTTTTATTTTCTTACCATGTACTGGAGCCATAAAAACACACCAGAATGAAAAGCTTCCAAGAGTTGACCTGAGGCCTATGAGCTGTTTGCACAGGGATAAAACGCAAACCAGTTTGACACATTTAATGTGGATCCATAAAAACGGGATCCACTGAAAACACTCATAGCCTTCAGCAAAGGGATTTTGTTTAAGAAAAGGTCTATTTAAGCTGATCCAATTTAAAGGTATCAGCTTTATTCCTTGCCTTGTCAGCACTGACAACTTCTTATTAAGTCTGGTTAGAAATGGTGTAGATACTTAGCTAGCAGAAATTGTTACAGATCTAGTCACAGGGTCAGTTGGAAATGATGTAATCTGCCCAAAGTTCCCTGCCTATTCTCAAGAAATAACTCCCTAGGACAATTTTAATGTGGGTTTTTGTCTGGCAATAACCAGGCAAACATTTTAAACTTTGTTAAACTTTTTTTGTTAAACTTTTTAAAACTGTTAAATTGGTTGCTTGTCCATTTTCACCTTTTTTGTTAGTGAACAGTGAGACCAAGTGGTTTTGACTATTGAACTGAGACATGCATATATAAGCCTGATTCTTAGAATGTGCAGTTCTCTGAGAATCCTACTGCTTTTTGCATTGGATACTGAAATATGCTAGCCATTTTGGGAAATCTTGACCCACATTACTAAAACTACTTGTATGTGTGGATAGCTTATTGACAGCTCAAATAGGCTTCCACTGATAATACTGCACTCCTTGAAAAGATCAAATGGAACTTTAGCACAAATGAAAATTTGCTGAAAAGTTTAGAGAAACTCAGAAGTAGGCAGCTTTCAGACTCCAAGACTTATTTGGAAAAAAATCAGATTCCTTTCATGCTAGATGGAAACTAAACATCCTTCTTATTGTCTAATCAATAAATAAACTTTAATTCATTAGAAGCAATGAAATCTATGTGGTTACATTAAATCTCCTGCACTGAAGCTGATGAGTGTTCTGCTCATGATTTTATAGACAATTAAAAAAATACTGGCCAGATTGTTGGCTCGTGTTAATCAGCATAGGTCCATTGCAATTAATGGAACCACAGTGATTTATATCAGATGAGGATGTGTTTCAACCAGGTTATAATAACATTGCTTTAATGTGTCAGGAAATTTATGTCCTACTTCTTCATGATAGCCTTGTGTTCTTCTATTAATAATCTTTGACACTTAGCTTTTAACCTGTAATTCTGATTTGTAATGTGTGTTGCTTACCTTTTAGAGAAAAATTTGGATCAGTTTCCTTTGGGGATTTTTTGTCATAAGCTATCTGTGAGAAATAAATGTTTTACATTTTTGAAAAATCCACAGTCACATCTGAAATTGTTGTATTCTATATCCACTTGAAGCTAAACAGATCCACTTCTGGGAAAAATGATGAAAAGAAAGGAAATAAAGGAAATGGCAAAAGTGAATCAATTTCTGAGTGTGGAAAGACAGCCGTAGTGTTTTCCTTGAAAAACGAAGTTGGCGGATTGATAAAAGCTCTCAGACTTTTCCAGGTAAATATTACAAATCATGACAATAAAGAGTGGGGACCTTTGGATTAGATTCTCAGCTGGTGTAAACTGGTATTACCACGGAAGGCAAAGGTACTGCCTTTGTGGGGAGCCTCAACAGCTACGACTGCAGTGGAGGCTGCTTGCACCACTGAAACTGACCCTACAGCAACTAGTGCTGCCTTGGATGTTGCACAGCTTCATAGATTTCATAGTTATTAGGGCTGGAAGGGACCTCAGAAGATCACTGAGTCCAGCCTCCCGAAGGGCAGGAAGTCAGCTGGGGTCATAGGATCCCAGCAAGATAAGCATCCAATTTTCTCTTGAAGGTTTTCAGTGTAGGTGCTTGGACCACCTCCGATGGCAGGCTGTTCCAGACCTTGGGGGCTTGGATAGTAAAGACAGTCTTCCTTATGTCCAGCCTGAAATGGTCTTGCAGCAGTTTATAACCGTTCAACCTCATCATCCCTTGGGGCGCTCTGGTGAACAAATGTTCCCCCAGATACTGGAGGTCACCCCTGATAAACTTACAGGTAGCCACCAGATCACCACTGAGCCTGCGCTTTTCCAAGCTAAAGAGCCCTAAGGCTCTCAGCCTGTTGTTGTCAGGTCTGTTTTCCTGACCTCTGATCATGTGCATGGTTAGCTAGACCTCTGGTGGCTAGGCTTCCCAGATAGGATATAAGGCTAGATAGGTACCTTTGAATGGTCATTAAACCTGCACACTGAAGAGGGTCCTGCTTAGAAGCAGCCAATAGAAAATTCTGAGCACAGTGGTATATCTGAAATCCCACCCCCCTCTAGAGGTTAGATGCTTGAACCAGTGTGTCCACTCATTCATGAATGAGCCAGAGCATGGCAGCCTGCTCAAGAGCAGGCACCTACTACTGTTGTTACCCAAACAGTTTGCTTAAGGCATAGTCAGGGTTGAGACATACAAGGAGAGGCAAGAGTTCCACACTGTAAAGCATGTTTATTAAGGGAAAACACAATATATTGACAAGATGTTTTATATAAAATACTGTTTTATATAATACAAGCTGTTTTATATAAGAAACAGTGCTGGGAGTGACCAGAACCCAGGGCTCCCCCATCTTATGTGAGAATCTGAACCAATATACTACAGAACTACGTTTCCTCCTATCTTTCTGCCCCCTCCTTCCCTCTTTCCCCTGAATCTTGGGTTCCTTTTTTGCACCATGGAAAGCTGCCATAGAAGGGGCTTCCACAGAAGTGCCAACAGCTGGAATAGCCCATATGCAGGTAGTGCAGGAACTTTCTGGGAGCTGGGACATGTGGGTTTTCATCCTGTTAACTAAGGAAGGAATTAAACCTAGGTCTCCCATTTGCTGGATGACTGCTTTAGCCACTAGGCTATATATAATAATTCCAGTGCTACCATCTATGTCTAAAAAGAAAATAAGTACAAGTGAATTTTGTCCCAGGTAGTATTGCATACAATATTATAATTGTATCCAGTCCCATGTAGGAAGTATGCTCTGAGCAAATCCAGTACAGCAGCCTTCAGATGATTTAAGGATGGCTTTGCCTGGTTTCTGCATCTCAAAAACCCCCTCTACATGTTACACTTAAGGTGTGATTAACCAGTTAATTATGCCTTAAGTTGTGATCCAGCTACACATTCAACTGAGTAATGGCATGCTAGAACAAACAATCAGCTACAAAGTTATTCCACAAATAATGTGGGATAACTTTGTAGCTTGTTCTGATCATCATAATTTGAATGCATGGTCAAGTGCTCTCCTGGGCTGGGAGCCTTATCAACTGAGGAGCTCCCAGCTCCAGGGGTGCACCATCCACCATCAGGCCCGCAGCTGACAAGACTTGCAGTGGCAGTAGCATTCCCAGTGCTGCACCCACTGTGGGCCTTATCATCTTGGAGGGCTTGCAGTGGGGAGAATGCTGCCTCCCACTGCAAACCTTGTAAGGTGGGGAGTTCACAGTGAAGTGCCAGAAGTGCTGTTGCCACTGCAAACCTTGTTGGCTGCGGGGCCAACACTTCTTCAGGGCTTGCACAGGGGCAATGGGGAGAATGCTGCTGCAGCTGCAGGGCTCATCAGCTATGGGGCTGACAGCAGCAGCAGTGTGCCTGGCACATGTGGCATAGCAGGTTGCATGATTGTGTGAATCATACATTAGATCCCATTGAGCCTTTACATGCTCATGTAGAGGAGCCCTAAGGGACTTAGGCAGAGGATAGGTGCCCCATTGCTCACGCTGGTCCATTTCTGCAGTCACAGAAGAAGACCTGCAGATGCATAAAGAACATTCAGATCAAAACAAGTAAGTTTAAAATACTAGCAAGTGTAGGCACCTGAAGAGTTAGGTGGCCATAGACCATGGACTTTGTTGGATCTGTTTTGGACTTAGGTGCCAAAGTTCATCCAAGTTCTGTTCTAGGTGCTGAAGTTCTGTTTTGGACTGCACCCCCCAGTGTCAAGGGTGAATACAAGAGTTGTCATCATTCATGAACTGCAATGACCAAATATAGACATGAGCATAGACTTCATGACCAAACATAGACATGAGCATAGATCACTCCCCATTTGGAAAACCAATGTTTTTTTCCCTTGACCTCTTAATAGGTAGAGAAGCAGGGATGTCAAGGGTAAGGCATTTCTTGACAGGCTGCTCTTAGTACAAAAGTTGAAATCATCATTGATGCTTTACAACTGCCATCTTGCATGTACTAACTGATTAGAGGTTGTGTTGGAAGAGAAGGCAGCACTGGTGTCAGGGCCATTTGCACACCCCTTTTCATTGTAGGATTTAGATGTTTAGATGTTTATTATGGCGGGTGGGGAGGTCAGTGGGTCTGGCCTTTCACTTTGTCAGACTTATCGCTGCAGGTCATTTATAATTACTGCAAGAAAGACAGATGAGGAATGGAATATAATTATCTTCACAAATGAATGTTTTTTCTGTCAGCTTGTCAAGAGAGATTGAATAAGTGCAGCTTCTTGTAGTAACTTTGTTATTAGGTGAGAATACTAAAAGGCTCTGCAATTAACACTATTGATATGGGTACTAAATATTTTATATCTACTTTTGCTATATAGTTAACATGGCATTATCATCATTTAAATTACTAAAATAATAACCTTTCTAAGTTATTGTCTTTCTAAATCACATTTAAATCCCCTGTAAATATTATGATTATCTTTTGTCACATAATAAAAAGGATAAAGTGTGTGTTGTTTGAAGCTTTTCTTTTTAATACACAATATAAATCACTAATCATGTACTTAGCCACAGGCTGAATGTTTCTATGACTTTTAAAATATATTCCACTGGAACAGATGCCAACAATTGTGTTATTTTACATGTTTACATATAGAGACCAATATTTCATTTTCCACAGGAGAAGCATGTGAGTATGGTTCACATTGAATCAAGAAAATCCAAGAGGAGGAACTCGGAGGTAGAGATTTTTGTGGACTGTGACTGCAGTAAGAAAGAATTTAATGAACTCATCCAGTTGCTAAAGTTTCAGACTAACATCGTATCTCTTAATCCACCAGAAAGTATCTGGACTGATGAGGAAGGCAAGATTACATTTTTCATTTGTCACTTTATGTAGCTATTGGCCAGCTGCTCATGTAGAAAACACAACGTGCTTAAACTCCAATCTTTTCAACTCATGCCATTCTCCCCCACAGAACTTGACAGCGTTCCTTGGTTCCCTAGGAAGATCTCTGAATTAGACAAATGCTCGCAGAGAGTTTTGATGTACGGCTCTGAGCTAGATGCAGATCACCCTGTAAGTATGAAATACAGCAACAATTGATCATGCTTGTATTTTAATTCTGAATTGCAAGGCTGCAACACAACTTAAAATAATTCTATAAATAGTAATTTGTATGATTTAGCCACACAAATAATAAGCTCTATGGCAAAGATTTTAAATCAATTTTTAGCACTCTTAAGGACCATGATTTTTAGAAAATGTGTGTCCAGCACTTTTATGAAATTCTCATCTCTCTCATAGTCTTATTGAATAGAATTGCCCATTTCTCTAGTTCAACCACTAAAAATTGAAGCATTCCATACTTGCTAGTCCTCATAGTCCTCTTAATGAAGCCAGGGTGGCCCAGGATTAGGGGAGCACACCCAAAACCTTTATTTCTGCTGTGCACTTTTTGGCCATAGCTTGTAGTTTCATAAAATCCAAAATCTATTGAATCAACTTCAGCTACAAACAATAACTTCAGTTCAAATAGAGGAATTTCACTTTTAATGAGGCAGTTTTAAACTGAAGCTGATGATTGTGATGGGGCACTTAATATTGTTTTATGTTTTGAGCTGGGTGCTTTCATTAAATACTTGAATGATCTGGAGAAAACCTGCCTTTAGTTTTGCAGACAATGAAAAAAGACATTTGCATTACATGAATATATATTTTACACTTGGGGGAGCCCTTGTAAGCATAATTTATACCACATTTGTGATCATTCAAAGCTCAGAATAAGAGATGGAAAAAACTGACTGCTGATTCTGGTCTCTGCTCCATCCCCTGTATGTATGTGGGGGTGCTATCAGAGTTATGAAGGGCCTGTGTTGAGACAGCATAGGGGTACTGTGAGCTCTAAAATCGTTCCAGTATAAAGCCCACTGCATAATGATCAATACTTTCATCCCAAAGTTTGCTACATGTGACGAACTGTTTAGTTATGACAAACAGTTATTCTGTCGTCTTTTCTGCTTTGGTGTGCAAAAATCATTTGTCTCTGTCATAAGAAGAGTAAGACTACTCCAGTCCACTTACTCACCCATTAATACAATGTTGGCAATTTTTTAATTCAATGTCTGTGCCACAAAGGTATTTAAACAATCAAGATAGCTGCACCAAGGATCAACAGCTTTATAAGAAACCTTTTCCAGTTAAGCACCGCACATTATCTGACATTGTCATCCTAAACTATTATTTTTCATGAGTAATTCAATCAAAGCCATATAAAGCCATATAAACAGAAGAACAAAAGGGAGGTGAGGGGGCTACTGTTTGGGGAAGCTGTGACCTGTAAGGACCTAAAGAGAGTCCAGCACTAGCTTTCCTGCTGGAGAAGTAGCTGGAGTCATGCTAACAAAACAA